AACGTGGTTTGTAAAATAAAAAACTAAAACAAGAAAATAAAAGAGTACTTATTTGAGTTATTATTACTGATCATGAATAGGCTTACTCCAAACGTACACAATTGTACGATTGTATCAACACAGTAGTGTTAGGAAAATTAGAAACCGTATAAAATTCACAATTTGAGAGACAAGTTTCAAGTTGCCAAAATGAAGAAAATAGGGAGAAAATCAGATCGTAAAACTTATTTATAGGCCTTACGTGTCACGGAGTAAAAACTCTATAGGGCTGGCTTGAAGGCGGAGATTATGTTATTGTAAGGCGGGCAGAGTTCCGGGTATAAAGAAGACGCGAGAATTGGGATCAGCCTTTTTAATTAGTTCTACCTCGAATTGCTCCGGCATTTTTCAAGCTTTAACAGGAATTTTTACTTCCACGGAAAATAAAACTGCCCCAAATTAAAACTTTGAGCTCGCCGATGAGTTTATTAGTTAATATTCCACGTGGATTCAATTAAGTTTAAAATTTCGGAAAGTAGTTGGGACGAGGGAAGTTTATTCTTTGGTTCTGAATCCGTTCGTCCATGAGTTTAACACACTCCCTAAATAATCTAGAAGGTGTGTGTCAGACCTATGTATGTTTTTATATTTGTGTAATTTTCCTCGTAATTTTCCTAACTTTCCAAATATTATCCTGAAATAAAATTATTTATCTACGGACTATCATTAGCCCTGGGGTAATAATATCATCAAAAACTAAGGAACGCATTTTGAACTGACTTATGTAAAACCTTTCCATATCCCCTTTTCCACACCATCTTCCACAATCACAGTGTGCAGACCATTATTTTCATTCGCAAGCTGGACATTTCTGTCAGGACATTATCGTGGCACGTCCAAACAAGGGGCGGAATCTACATATTTATAGGTTAACAATTAGTTCCAAACGAATCGTCCCGTCAACTCCGCGTCAAATGATGCAATCCAAATAGGATCTGCTTTAATGATTAACATAGAATAAAGATGAGGTGAGTCAGTTCTTGTCTCTTCCAGCTGTTTGTTATCAATTCATCTCACTACATTTTACAGGCTGTTTTAAGTTCGTCAGCTGTCAATTACAATGATTGATTTCGATTTATTCGAATGCGTTGTCAACTATATTTGCTCTCTAATCAGTTGTTTGTTAACAGTTCATCATACTATGCCCTACGGTTTTCTCAAAAAACTTGACTACGCTTTCAACCACCATCTCTTCCCAATTAATCTTACTACGTTGGGGTAACTATTGACTGTTCATACTGTCTGCCTGAAATTCCTACAGGTGATTTGTAATCACTTTATCAGACTACGCAGACAACAAGTGAGTTTTTTATCTTAATGCATCTTGTCAATTACAGCCAATTTGTTCTCTGTTTACGAGTGGACTAAAAAGAACCAATTCAATAACAGTTCATATAGTAAAATTACTCTGTCAAATTATCAGTTGCCTAATTTTAATAACAAGCTTGTAACGTGCAGAATGGTTTAAATTCGTCTGGCTTTGGTAAACTTCCAATTATTTTGTTCGTAGTTCATATGACTACGCTGTCAACTAACAACCTGCTATTTGATATTAGTTCTTATGACAACGCTTCCAGCCACTGATTATTTATCTTGATTGTTTACTGGCTTCGTTCAATAAATGTGAACTTTTTACGTGCTAACCCTTTTTATCTCTATGCATCTCTATTTATACAATGTATAGCCTACATTATACAAATCATCCATTACAGTCATATAATTTTAAACTTACTTTTAAGATTTTGTAATTCAACGCTTAAACCAGTTTTCTGCACAGCTTTTAAAGAGTTAACCATATTCTTGTCCTATTGTCTAAGGATCATATTGTGTTGTTGATAATAATCATCCATAAATACTCCAATAAAATTAACTGAGCTAAGTTCAGAATCAATCTTTCCTGCACCTGTATCTAACTAGAACTACAACCTTTTGTATTTGAAGCAGCTATCTTGCATAACAAGATAATCATGGTTTTTATTGAGGTTATTTTAATTGTGTATACAATGACCACTCTTTGTATCATGTGCAGTTCCATACCTTGGGAGTCAAGCTTAAAACTTTGACATGAGAGGAACAAAAGACTTAAGAGTGGATTCCATACGTTTAATTGACAAAAGTTGATAACCTTAAACAAATACTTTTTCCTACAGTCACCCGACAAAGTGGGCTTCAAAGCGGGATTAAAGTACAGAAAGCTGCTAATTGGTGCATTTACTTACTTTGCCGCACACATTTTACTTTGTCGCACACCATTATTCCAACCAAACAACACAAAACAGTGTGCTTTTATTATGCACGTAATGATCACAGACAATAGACCACCACGGTCTATGCCATAATGGTCTATTCTCTGTGCAATTACGTAGCTTGGAAATAGGTTGGCAACACTAAAAATACTACGACCACGATCAGCTGATCAGCTGTTGCAGTTTTTTTCCCATTTCGTTTAACGCTTGGATTTAACCTAACCTAAAACGTGCTGTTTAGTGTTTAAAAGACTAATTATTTCTATGCTTTATAATAACTGTAGGAAACATATAATGTGCAACACGAGTGCAAATTGCCTTTGCTGCACTCGATAAACTTTCCACACTTGCCTAAAGCTCGTGCGTAAACATTTCTCTCTTGTTCAGCAAAGTGCCACTTCGCCCACTAGTTACACAAATAACTATTGCATTCAGTTATCAATTAAGAACTATTATAATGTTATTTTAGTGTAAAGATTTTTAGAATGTATAAATGGGGAAAATACCTATAAAAATCTAATTTTCCCTACAGTCACCCGACAAAGTTGGCTTCCTTGTACTGTTTATAGTACAGAAAGCTGCTAATTGCTGCATATTTATACTTTGCCGCACATCAGGATTCCAACGAAACAACACAAAACAGCGTGGTTCTATTATGCACGTAATCCGTGTACGCTTGGAAATAGGTTGGCAACACTTAAAGATAATAATACTATGAGCAGCTGATTGACTATTATAACGACGATTTAACCTGTCATTTCGTGTTTATAGTTTCGGTATTTCTGAACTTTCTGGACTTTTCTTTTAAACGTTTTTAAAACATTCCTACGATCTTAATAAACAAGAAAATACCTTTAAAGCATTTTTTTAGGCGCGGAAACCACTTCAAATTACAAAAACATACGGAACTATATTCTCAAAACGCGGAGCACATTTCTTGCCGAGGAAAAATAGCGGAGTGATACGGACCGCGGGTACTACTTTCTCTAAGGCACCATCTGTGTTGCCAGCTGAGCCTAAAAACGTGACGTATAGTGTTTAAAAGACTAATTATTTATATGCTTTATAGTGACTGTAGGAAAAATATAATGTGTAACACGAGTGAAAAAGGCCTTTGCTGCACTCGAGATCATTCCACACTCGCCTGCGGCTCGTGCGTAAACATTGCTCTCGTGTGCAGCAAAGTGCCACTTTCACCACTAGTTACACAAATAACTATTTAAGAAAGTATCAATTTGTTTATCATACTGGGTAATTCTTTATATAAGAAGGCGGGAGGAAATCTTAAACTAGAACGTAGATCCAGTAGAACATTAAAATATAGGTCTCTGTTAGGAGATAAGGATTTCACAAACATAACTTCAAAAGGATCATCCTAGCCAAAAAAGGCAAAGCTACGAAAATTGAAAAAAAATCTTAAATAAAATGACTAACATGACAAAAAAGGAGTACATTTTTCCGGTACTGTCAGAATAGTTAATTTTTATATTGGTTTTATGCATTTTCGGTGCTGTTGATTTTCCAGCAACTCAGAAACTTATTTGAGTGTATACTTATGCATTTTGGTCGTAAAACGTTTTGAAAAGTTCAAAATGAAACTTTAACTGTAAGGCTCAAAAAGGAATGCAAGAATGGTTATGTATTACATTATTTAAAAAATATGTTATAGTTGTAATTTGTAAAACTTTGTCTGTACTTTTTGCAATTTGAGTAGTTGTGAATGGCAGGTTTCTTGTCCGCACCTGAGAGCTTATAATATTCATATAGAGAGGGAATATTCACCTGAGAGAGAGAGAGAGGGAATATTCAGCGTAAGATATTACATGCTTAGTCCTCTGTTGGGCGACACAAATATATGAAATACCCCCGCCGCAGCAAACCTGCAGGCTAAATGAATTTTCATTTGCCTGATTGGATTTACACTAAAATGCCACCTTAAAAATATCACATTTATTCCCTATTTATATAGAATTAGTTTAAAGAGTACTTAGGTTTGCTGCAACAGGGAGGGTAAAAAAGTGTTTTTGTTGTAAAGTGTTAATAGTTTAGTAAGAAATTAATGAATTTTCCAATTTTTTTAAAAATATATTCATAAACAAGCAAACTACAACAGTTGGCTTATTGTCCATAAGAATAACATGAGAATGTTAAATTTAAAATTTTTTTTAATGGCTCCGTAACCGTTAGGCGCATAGTAACGCTTCAATTTACTAAATTATTTGTTTTTTTAAGCTCTACAAAATGGTTTAAAAAGAAATTGTAAAAGTTTATGTTTTTAGGGTCAAAAATGGGAAAACCCCATTTTTACCCCATCAAACCCCCCCTAAAACCCCCCATAAACCCCCGTTCCCATAGTCCGATTATGCTGGTTTGCGAACTCGTTCGAATAAATGTAAACAAATAAATAAATATATTTAATAATAAATGTAGGTCTACACGTTTATATCAAATTTAATCTAAATCGGATAATTTTTTTTCGAGTTATCGTGCTAACAGACACACATATATACATATATGAATTTGAACGGATGGTGTTTTTTGCCTCTGGGGACCTCAAAACAAAAATAAATCGGTCCCAAGTCCAGGTCTTACCATGAGTACTACAGTAATAGCTTATTCCCTATATGGGAAATTCGCTAAAAACTGAGAAAATTCTTATAGTTAGGAGAATTTGAATCTGAGGAGTTGATAAAAGCAATCAGACAACTTACGGTTTAGTTTCTATTATAATATTTTATACAAAAATATACACAGGTTGGTAAATATTTATATATATATAACAGTAACATAAAGAAGCTTTCAAAACAGCCAATATTATGTTACAGTTCCAAAGAACTGAAAATATCAAACAATGAAGTACAAATTACAATGTCATCTGCAAGTAAAATTATGTTTATATTGCTATAATTATTTATACAGATCACGGTGACAATAAGTTCAAATAAAAATACAAAACTCAAAAGCAATTATCACTATTTTTTCCTAATTTACATTACTTAGTAAAATGCAAAGGTAAACAAAAACTTACTAAATCAAAAATATGCTTAAAACCCAAGCCATGACCGTAACTTTCAGACGGTTTAAGATGATAATCTAAAATAAAAACTTGTCATAGTTTATCATATTTCCACCTTAATTCCAGGTTTTATAATAAAATGGCACAAACCACCATAATGTTTTATTTCCACCCATTCATTAACACATAAAGATAATATCCGATAGTAAATCACGTACCTTTAATAATTTTAATGACCTAAAAGGTGGAGAATCAGGTGAGCTGAAATTAAAAAACAACAACACAAAATATGTAAATAAAATAAAATTAAGGGAATTTCTCATATTTATTTCATTGAAGGGTGTTATTATGGAAGTTTTACTTATCGTGTCATTTCAAATTATTTTTCAAAGCAATTATGGGATAAGTATTCATTAAAATATACCTTTTAACAGTTAATAACATCACGCATTGGTCAACAATCAGTTATTTGCATGCATGTCTAATAAATATTCTCAGATTACATACGATTTTTACAGTGTCATACATTTTGTCCAAAATGGAAAAAAACACCGAAATGTAAAAACATATTGCAAAACCGGTTCACTGTAACTAATAAGGTATTAAGACCAAAAAATAAATTGTTGAACTTTATGAGGTGTAAAACATATTTTCTAAAAATTAATAAAATCAATAAAATTGCAAAAACTTTAAATTACTACGCAAATTAATAATGTAGAAAAAAACACTTGAAAAGCCACTTAAAAATGTAACCAAAAACAACATTATTATTTACTTACGTGACGTTTTAACAACCAATTAGTTCTAGGGTTGTCTTTAAACTATGTGAAAATGACAATTCTGTCATATAAGGAGCAATAAACAAAATTATCATTATGATTTAACAATACAAAATTTTTCAATCACAAATTATGTTTACAAAAACATTACATACCATTTTCATGGTTTCATGTACGATTAAGCCAAAAAGATTTTGTAAAGAATATCTTGTTATAAAACACAATTAGCATTATGATTTAACTGTTCAATTTTTCAATTTCCAATTGCCAATTTTTATCACAAAACTGTACAAAAACATGGTATATAATTTTCACTTTGTCATAAATATTTCCGCCACAAGAAACCTACAATTTTAAATTTAACAAATAAAACTAAAATAATTTTACTCAGACCAACATCCCGATCGACGATTCCGAGCTACATATAATTTACATAGAAGTACAACTTAGCTTACAAACACGTTCGAGGGATCCGGCGGGTCCGGGGGGCTATCAGACTCGTGCCTGCTGATGGGAGTTTCCCCTTCACTCTGATGATTCTGATGACTCTCTGTAACTTCCGAGTCATTGTGGTTCTCAAGAGTTGATTCACTCTCGCTCTCAGCACTTCTACACGCAAGATTCTCGGGGGGAGATTCTTGAGTGGAAGTGGTCTGGGTGTCCACAGTAGGTGGAGGGGACGTCTGGGCCCCCACACTTACCACGGGGGGCGCGGGCCCCTCAGGCGGACTGGAAGGAACACTCTGCGACCTGATCAGCAGATGCTGCAACTGCGCTTGGTGCAGAATCAGCGGCAGCTCGTAGTGGTGGAAGAAGTAGAGCATTGAGTGCTGCAACAGAAATAAGTTGTAGTCATAGAATGTTAATTTCAATAGTTTTAAAGAGGTTGACAGTTTGCAGCTCCTGGGGTATGTAAAACGTACCCTGAAAAGTATAGGATGAAATGGTACAGTTTAAGGGTTGAACCATAGCCACCTCTAATATACTCTGTGTACTAGAGAAGGCTATGGTTGAACTGATAAAATGTAAAGGGGGAAAAAGTATACGAATCCGCGACATTGCTTATATGGATCTGAAGTCAGTTGCGCTACTAACTCAACTAAAACATATCAAATAAACTGTAGTACTCTAACAAACACAACGGTATCTTATGAGATAAATTACTATAGTAACTTTCTTAGGTAAGAGATTTATACAATATTAAGGAATTCTTCAAGGGTGTAGTTTCCTCTTCAGGAGCCATTCTTGTTTTCTTCTTGAATCGCCTTTTCTACATTATTTTTTAGGCGGTTTGGAAGTACATTAGAACTCAAATTCTGTTTTAATTGGGACCGAATCCTATTCGGATGGTAACAAATCCAAATTGTCATTTTTTTTACTATTAACCCTTAACAAAATATAGGTTCAAACAAAATTCGACAATAACCCTAGAGAGATGACTCGCTGTCGGCCTATCAAGTGACAAGCAATTTGTTGTAATGCTGGAATGTCCATCACACTAAGAACCTCTACCTAGGTTATAGACACAACTACAATCAGTACGAGTGCAATATCACTTTATTTACAAAAGAAATTTTCATTTTATTTCGGTAAAAGGATGGGTGGTTTTGCAAATTAAAAATATGTCAAAGAGGGAATGAAACAGTGACATGGAGCTTGACAGGAAATTAAGAGTTATGACAAAGAGTAATTGCACCGCTTTACTTCTTTTACTGATGAAGTTTTTACCAAAGTGGAATTTTACAGCATCAAACCAATTTCCCTCCTGGGTTGGCATACATTTTAAAATCAGTATCCTTTTTATCAATTATTTACAAAATGTGATATAATATGTTTTTTGTTTTTTTTTTTCGCTGTTACGTAGTTCTGATAATGATTACGATTAATTGTCAATTGGTAAATGAACTGTACAACTTATAATTCAAATAAATAAATGTAAATATCAAATGCACATGTATGAAATTTATAAGTTAACTGGTGAATAAAAATTAATAGCATCATAGTTAATTTAAAATTAAACATTAAACATATGTATATTTTGTGTTTAATTTAATATGGTAATAGAAATATTTTACATTCTAAGAAAAAAAGTTGTATACTAAAGCATATAGCATTTACTAACAAAACTACAATACTAAAACTGTTGTGTATTTCAACAAATATTTAACAAAATATTTTATTCAGTTTTTTTAATTTACAATTTTATTATTACATTTTATTTCAATTTATTTGCTTTGTACTGTAATTATAAACTTAATAGTTTTTACCCATCCATTTGTACATTTTGTTTACTTGAATGTTCATTTTTTGGTTGTCAACTTATTATTTAATAATTTATTTTTTTATTTCCTATTTTAGATCTTGTTTATTTTATGAGATTATGAGTGGTTTAACTGTTATTTATCTTTAGCTAATAGGTACTATTGCTAGCGTAGTAAAAATATAAGATAGAGAGTAAGGTATTATGAAATGATGCAGTTAATTTACTAGATGGCTTGTTTTTAGTATGACAATAGTGAAAATATTTGTTGTAGGCTACATATAACTTTTAAACCATTACTAAAAATGAAAATATATTTGTATGAAACCAAATTCATAACTTAAAACTCATACAAGACCAAGTGATGGATTACATGATATTAAATGTGGACATTTAAACCTGTTGAAAATCAAACTAGAAAGAACGATGAATTTCTAACAAGTGAACAATTATTATTGTAAAGCTTACCTGAATACTTTTAATAGAATCTACAATGTTATTTAAAAAATGTAAATTATAGAGACTTACAAATTGTAATCTCAAAAGAAAAAAGGGGGATGAAAAAATGTTTGGCTTGTGAAAATAAAGTTTTAACAAGCTTAATTAAAACTTAATACAATTTTATGAATGAAGATGTCTCACGTTATTTTAATGAAGTAATTTAGGTTGTTAATAAGTATGATACAGCTTTTAATTATAACATTGTTGATCTTATGACTATTTTTTTTCATCATCAGGGGGAAAAGATGGTATCAGCAATCTACCATTAGCTTGTCAACAACCTTTAACAGGGGTAAGTGGTGGGAGTAACTGTTATTGTAACATTTTATTGGGAAAATCCCTTTTGAACTATAATTTTTAAAGCAAAAATATGATTTTTTGTTAATTTATGTGGGTTTTTATGGGAAAATAACAAAAGTTACAATAACTTTTGAACAATAATTTGTACAAAAATGGGAGTTTTACCATTTTGTTAAGAATTTAAGGACTACTCGTATAACATACTAAATTTCTATTAAATTTGTTGGGGCCATTTCCGATTTTTTTGTTATTTAATAGGTTTTTATGAGAAAATTGCAATTATAAGTTACAATAAAAAAAAAAATGGAAATTAAGAAGCCTGCATATTCCATTGATTAGTACATAGATTTGATTTGATTTGATTTGATTTGATACATACCAAATTTCATCACAATCGGACTACATGTGTGGTCTGTAGCCCTGTATGCCTTACACATACACACATACAAACATACATCTCTTCCAAAACCATTTTTTGGGTTCAGGGTGACCCAAAACGGACATATCCACTCGAAACTCAATCTCGAAAATTTTGACGAAAACAATACTTTTTCCATAGGTTCATATTGTATAGGGGAAGAAAGTAAAAATTCAATGATAAAATGTCAATAAAATCTCAGTTCACCAATTTTACAAAATTGGCATTTAATATAAATAATTGCGAAGAAATATATTTACCACCATCAATAAATTAGCAATGAGGTATGTATTAGTATGAAATTTAGCTCCTTTGAAATATAATTTGTTTAATAAATTGTTACCCTGCATTTGCATGCCTATAACTTACGGTACCTATGTCTGTGAAACATATCAAGCAAAAGCAAATATAGATTAATTACTTTCATAATTTTTGGCGTTAATAGAGAAATTACTTTAGGTGAAAATGCTAGTATCGTGTTATCTATTAAATAGAAGAGTTACTCTAATTTTAGGAATGAAATATATTTTTTACATTCAGTAATGCCTCATAAATTACTGTTATTAATTAACAGTAATTTATGTTAGGAAGAACGCCTTGTAAAATGAATTTTTTTATGAAATAAAATATTTCATTCCAAAATTTGAGTAACTCTTCTATTTTACGATAATGAATGCCTTTGACTAGCTAGGTTTTAATGCTGTAACTTTATATCCACCTTTAGCAAAAGATCCAGCAAAAGCCATGTTACACCAATTAAAAATCCCAATCTGTGATACAACCTTTGTCTACAGTTCATTCATGGTGAGTTTATGTTATTGAAAGAACTCCCAAAATCCCAAAAGTTTGTGAGAAACTTTGTTGGTTACAAATAGTGATGGAGAAAGGACACAATAATCTCTTAAATACCGTGACGTGTGCGTTTGATTTTAATTGCACATTTCAATATGTTTCCCGAGTGATGCTGCCGTCGCGCCACCCCGGGTCGAAGACTAATGAATATGCATCGGAAGGGTGAACTCTTGTTGTTTGTTCGTGATTGTCGAGTGTATGCCTCACTGGTCCACGTCCTACGACAGTTCCGCGTAGTTAACCCGTTGTGATAGCCGTATGAATAGTTTAACCCCGGCACCGGCCGACCCGCCTGCGCCTGTTAATATTGCTATCAAAATGCTAAACAATCTCCGGCGACAATGTTCTTGCACCCCGCCTTGTCAAGTTGTCTTTTCTCCTCAATACACAGTCAATTGAATTTAATTAAGTGTGTAATTTATTGGAAACGTGTTAATTCGAAATCATAGTTATGTGATGAAATTAAAATCCATAGGGTGTTTCAAAAGGGGCTTTACAGCTTTGTCATCCCGTTTGAATCTGACCAATCTGATTTACTGACATGGTTTTGGTGCTTATACTAAAAGCAAAATATTTAAAGGTGCTCTCCCAATTAGTACCGGGTTAGTTCGAATACGGGGGTTCATCTAGTGATGGGTGTAAAATTTACCATTTTATTTCTGTTAAAAACAACAATAAAATTATTCTGGTGGAGTGACTCGTAGCAGTAGAAATAATGGTTGTATAAAAACAAGACTTTTCAACTATTAAATTATAAAAAGTAATGAAGAGTAGCCACAAAACGTAATATGATGAAAATACAATGTCTGAAAATCAAACTTTTAAAACGGAACATGATGGTTTTGTCTAAATTAAATTCAACGGCTTTAAACCTGAGGTAAATGGGCCGAGAAAAGTATAAAAGCGCTGCAGTTTTTTTTCATACTTAAATGCATCGTTGTACCTATGGAGGCGAAATGAAAATTATATAATCCATTTAACTTAATTTCGACCCTAAAACACTGTCATTGTTGTAAAGAAAATGTTATATCTAGGTGATAATGTATATCTCGGTAGTAAAGTTGTTAGACGATAATGGATATTGGCAAATACCCATAGAGCAGGATCTTCCCTCAAAGAAAGTTTTTCCCAAATGAGTTAATAAATACTACTAAATGAAAATTAATGTACTGAAAAGGAAAATGCCACTGTAAAAAGCAAAGAGCAAGGAAACTGATCGTATCGTATTAGTAAATATTTGGAATTTTACACATGATGGGGAATTTGTAATAACACAATATACACATGTCTTTTGTGTTAATGTGTTATTACAAATTCCCCATCATGTGTAATAGGTGCAATGTCTAATAATCAATTTCCTTGCTCTTTTACAATAGCATTTTCCTTTTCTTACTAACATTAATTAATAAACATTACAACAACAAAATATTTCCGACTTTACTTTTAAAAGGTATTCAACGTAAATTTATTTTGGTCCTGGTAACATAAAAAACATGTAT